AGAACACTTGAAAAAACATAATAAACACACACGTACGTCTAACAGAAACACAAATAAGATATCTATATCTACAAGAAGACTAACCAAACACACAAACACAAAACAAAGGAGAAAAGGTTGCAACTTTGAGAAAAATCAGAAAAAAACAAAGACAACAGAGAACATATTCAGGTGAAAGCCAACAACAATTACATACGCATCCCCTACAAGTTAGCATACGATCTACTGAAATCACCATCGACGGCTCATAAAAATTGAAAGGGATAACACCACGGATCATGAAAAGACGCACAGTCAAATACTATAGAAGTTGATTCAAAACAGTGACAACCACAGATCCGAAGACGAAATCGAATTCAAGAAATTGAAAAATTCAGCAGACTAAGGAGAATAGACCAAATCAAACTAGAATAGATTCAATACATGTAAAAACTGAAAACGAGCTTAAATCCTAAAGATCTGGATTAATCGAAACAGTAAGGTTTGGGTGAATGAATCGGCGATTCTAGATCGAACAGTTACAAAATCGAGGGGATGGATCTAACTGAAGCAGGTTCGATAGATGGAAGCGAATAACCTCACCTTAGAATCTCGACGGCGGCGGCGATCAGAGACTGAAACCCTAGAAGAAACACACACAAGGTATGGAGAGAGAGAGAGAGAGAGAGAAAACAGTTTCCAGCGAAAAGGGGGAAGAGAGAGAAAGTGAGGTCGTAAGAGAAGCAAGTATCCGATAGCTTTTTATATGCGGCGCTGATACTGTACTTCGCGTGTTGCGTGCTCCTTATCTCACCCTGACCTAAATACTCTCCCTCGGCTTATTAATCAACGGTCCGGATTGTTTTAGATTTATCCTTTACAGAAAGATGCGAAGAAGCAGATTATTCTTCTTCTTTCTTTTTTTTTTTTGTCTTCGGAAGCAGGTGAACAAAAAATACATTATAAGGACGTTTTTATTTTATTTTATTTTATTTAATAAGGGGTAATTATTTTACAGTATGATTACAAGAGCTGAAAAACATGAAGGGGGCCACAAGCCAGAGAGATAATCATATTAAACCTTTTTTAAGTTTGCTTTCATACGAGAAAAACGCTTTATTGGGTTATTATTATGTTGGTCTCTACCTGGCTCAGTATAGCTGAGGAAACCAAAGACTCTCACTGCAACAGAAACATTGCAAGATTTTTGTCTAGTTAGAATCCAAGCATCCAAGACCACTCTGTATTCACAAAGATCAAGAAGAGGCGAGTTCTCTCCTCTTCATCTTTAATGCCTTGTATCAGCTTTTTTTTTCTTTCTTTTTACTAGAAATTCGGACTAGAGCTTCTCTTTCACACACAACAGCATAGACTATATGCAATATACACAAAGGTTTAGTCCCAAAAAGAATGCTCACTGTACATAAGAACCGAGACAAGTGACTACATAGACTTATGGTCCAAGCTAGACCTTGTAAACAGCAACGCCGAACCATTCACACACCTAAGTACAAGCAACCTACTGTCTATATACGTACCACACACAAGCTTAGACAAATCGAACATCTCCTGCGGAATCTGCTTTCTAACTTCCCCGATCACGTTCCCTGGCGACTCTATACGATCAGCCATGTTCATGGTTACTTCAATCTCTCCAGAGATGAGTTTGGCTACAGGAAGACTCGAGGGGAACTCCTTGAAAGGCACCACTTTTTTCCATTTCTTGGTTCCTAACTTCTCGACTAGGCCCTCCTCCGCATTTGGTTCTCCCATAGAGAACTTACCAATGTTCTTTTTCTCTTCTTTCAGATAAAGTCTTTTTCCGGCTACTAGTCTGAACTGAGAGAGCGTTTGTAGTTTACCTCTGGCTCCGGTTTTTTCGTGTGGCCAGTCGTTGCTGGTTATGGCCGTGAAGCCTATATCAGAGGTAAAGGATAGTGAAGTGTTGTTGTTGGCATCTTCTGAAGCTCGGCTTATTGTTAAATGGACATTGCCTATTAGTGCACGTGTAGAGGGTTGACGCAGAGTTAGACCAATGTGCTTTCCGGTTGAGTATAACAGACGCCATCTTCCCGGTAACAGCTCCAACCAACACTGTGTTTAACCAAGAGATCCAAAACCATGGTTCACTAATTAAAGTGTTATATATCAAAAGTTAAAGAAGCATGAAAAATATTTTTAAACACGTACATTTGGTTTAGGACATGGGTTTAGCATCTCCATTAGTTCAATGAAGTGGGAAAGTCTTTGACGCTGCGTGATTTTTTTTGTTATTCCATTTTAGTCTTTCAGAGTGATAAAGGTTCAAACTTCTTAGAACTTGTAGGAAAACCATCTCATATACATACCTGAGGCATGCGGTAAATGTATTCTTCTGATATCCTTACAGCGGTTGATCCAAGACCCCATCTGATGATATCCATTGATGGGGCAACACGCCATCTAGGTCCACACAGAAAGGGATGCTTAAGAGCATCCAAGCAACTACACCAAACCCCAACAGACTTTGTTAATGATGAACCACATTTATGGATTGGTAATGTTAATGTATAGAATGATACCTTATTCGTTTAGAAGGTCTGGTAGCAATCAATGAAGATAAAAGGTGCCAACCTGCTCCCCAGTTTCTATCAAGTATCTGAGAACAAACAAGAGTGTGATGATAAACAGCAGTTTAATCTCAAGATAACTTGTACTAATGATGGGAGGTACAAAATATATTTGGGTGAGTACTTACTTGAACTCCAGTATTTCCAGATTCTGAGTTTGTATTGAGCGTCGTCACAAAGAACTCTCGTAGAGAAGAAGGATCATTCCCCTAGAAATACATTTTGAAATAATATTTAAAGTAACAAACATTTTTTATAACATCAAACTCATCTATTGATACATCAGCCACACTCTGTAGCCCAGTTGATAATGATACCTTTGCAAGGAAAGACTTGAATTTCGCAAAGATTAGTGGATCCATTAGTTCTTGGAGTACCATTTTTGCCATCATGAAACCAACACATCTTTGACCATGAAAGGTAAATACAATTAGTCTGAGTGATTGATGTAACCAAACGGGAATATGATAATAAATATCACATATAAAAAAATTACCTCATGTCAAATGCTATCATCATTTGTCGTCTGTCCATGGTACTGTAAGCGTTGCTACTGCTCTGACCATCCTCGTAGAAGTCAGCAGCATTTCCCAGAATCCCTACCTATAAATTACAAAACAAAAAACTCCGAAATTAATTGACATCAAGAAATTAGCTTCATAATCAAAATTGATTGAAAGCAATGTACTAACTTTGATATGTCTATCCACAGGGCTAATGTGCACATTTTCCAATCTCAGTTCCGTGTGAGCAAGACCATGGCTGTGCAAGTAATTGACCTTCAAGATAAACAACACATGTCAATCAAATCATGACGAAAAGAAAGAAGTATTCTGAGACAATACGTACTCCGATCAAAAGATCTCTCATTAGTATACGGATTAGTCTAAGCTGCCTTGAAACTGCAGGTCCTCCAGTTGTATCATCCCCTACTCTTCTAAAGGATTCTTCATCTAGCGCAAGGGTAGCTTCTAAGGTTGGAAGCCAATCAGATTGCTGAAGCCAGTGCCTAATCGAAAAACTCCCATGGCACTGCAAGAAGAGATACAGATTCATTAAACGGTGGAAACATGTGAAGCATATATGTAGAAGAACCTACCCCGTGGACGAGGGTAAATGAGTAGGGATCATCACTCAGGCTGTTAGAGATGTAACCGTGAACTTGCATTGAGTAAGAATGGTACAGAAGTCTACGACGAACTAGCTTTTTCAATACCTGCAAAGTAACATAGTAAAGAGACTTAGGAGAGATACAGAGAAGCTAGCACAAGTGATTGTGAATTAAAAGGAAACACGAACTTCAATGGCTCTTCTTCCCCTTCTTTGCGCATGAGTGGTGTTCAATTTCCGAAGGACAACTCCTTGGTTAAACAAAGGGCTGTGGAATATGAATCACCACACAGATGAGGCCCCCGAAAATCATTTTATCCTTAAATCATTTAATACAATGAAGTAAGAAACTGACCTGTCTGGAACCTGAACTACAGCTTCAAACACAAGCTCATCGGCCTGTAGAAAGTAAACTCAATCAGCAACATAAGTAATAATATAAGAAATATATTGATAATTTAACATACCCGACCACCATGACCAATGCTAACACGATCAAGAATCTTGAAATCATTCCACTTGAACTGCATCACATGTGCTGATTCATCCTCCACAGATACAGAGGAGCTACCGTTCCCAACATCCTCTTCCATCTCCACATTAGACGATGATGAAGATGAACAACGGAGTCTCACAGGTTTAGCACGAAACGAAGAGCTTGTGGGCAGCCATAAACTACGGTGTCGTTTCAGAACAATGCTCGAACTTCTAGCAGATTGCAAAACTCCCAAACTTTGCAGATTTGGAGTCGATGAAAGACCACAAAGAGCCATCCGACACAAGCCCACTTCATAAAAATCAATGAAATGTTCAGAAAGTTTCTAAATTTAGCAAGTACTTTCAATCATTAAATCGTATTGAAAAATCTTACCGGTAAGAGGAAGGAACCGACCAAACACAGAGAAAACAAAGAGAGAGATCGGTCTGAAGACGACACGCAACTTCTTCACACGCGAAAAACGGATTTAGTTTCACCGATTTTATAAAAATTTAAGAAAAAAAGGGTAAGTCGTATATAAGGACAGAGAAGCTCGTGAGAGTTGCGTGATGAAGTACGCCTGAGGCATCGCGCCTCGAGGTCGACCCGCGTCTACGTCTGCCCCATTTCTCAACAAAAATATCTTACTCTCATTGGGCCTGAATCAACGTAATGGGCCTTTAGAACACAACCTTTACTGAGCTTTTACATTTTCACTCTCTATTGGATTTTATAGCTTTTACATTTTCACTCTCTATTGGATTTTATAGCTGTGACTGGCGAGGTCCTCTCTATACACGTAGCTCTTAACTAATCAATATTAGGGAAAATAGTTAATTTAAATATCAACTAGATCTTTATCCACGCAACCGCGCGGTATTACTTTCAATTTTATATACATCTGTTATTTATTTTATGAATATATATTTTTAACGTTGAACATATATTTAAATGTTTATATAAATGTATTGTTAGTTTTAAGATGTTCTTATGTATTAAGAGAATGAAAATGGAAATTAAATATGGTTGTTAAGATTTTATTATATAAATACAAAAGATAAGGTTACAACTATTCTAAGGAAGGGTCCATTTTTAAAAAATCACACATGAAGAGAAGTTGTGACTTCTCTTTTAATATAATAGATAGAGCACCGCGCTTCTGATTAATACATAATCTTCATATTTGTGAAAAATATACATTAACTCACGTTTTTTTAAATTTCATGCATCAATCAAAACTTTTAGGTTAATTTATACATTGACCATCTTACCGTTAGTCAAATTATAAAGTAGCTTATGTGGACTTAACATGTGATTATGTGGATTAATAGGTTTATTACGATAGATTATTGTACACAACTTAACGGAGAACTACGTCATATTTGACCCTAATTAAACGACATTGTTTGGTTTATTCAAAAACAAAAATACATCTTCCTTGTTAATATCGCGATAGAAGAGGAAAACAATCAGAGTCTAAGAGAGAGACAGAGAAAGGGAGAAACAAAAGTGTGAAGAAGAATTGCAAAGCTAAGAGCATGATTAACGCACAACCCACATGGAGAGTGCTTTTTTTTAATTAAAAAGTCCACCAATTGCGGAGCGCCATATGGCATGGGCCCGCGAAACAGGACAAGCTCCGCTGTTTATTCCAGCGTTTTTAGCAGCGCTGCTTCTTCTTTCTTCCTCTTTTTGTGATCCCCCTCCTAAGCGTCTCCCTAAACCCTGCATTGATACTGCTCTAAGTGTGACAAAGACGATCCCAGGGAACTGAAAGCACGCATAAGATAGAATTGCTGGAATGAAGGAAGTTTAATCCTATTATATGAGAAAATTAGTGGGTTTCCAGTTTGATAAATAAATCGATTACATGTGATAGAAAGGTATTTCCCATATTGTAATAGGATGATGGGTACATGTAAATTATGGATTGTTAGAAAGTAGAAGAATAAATTTGAGAACACACAAGGTGTTCGATGAAATGTGTCAATGAATATATTATCGTAATTTTTTTTCTGTAACTGATGTGTTGTATAATTTTTGCAGTGTGGATAATGATATCACGTTTATTATATACTACGATGGGAAATTTGGAATTTTGAAAGAGGTCTAAGCTATGTTAGTGGAAAAAAAATCATCATCTTGAAACTGTTTCTCAATGTCTATTTGGTTTGATAATCTCGGCAGTTATTGTTGATGTGTATGGGAGCGAGTTTGGTACAAGTTCCCTTACGAAGATTTATCATCTTTGAAGGTGTTGTATGATGGTGGTTTAAATTTCCAAAACATATGTGATGCTACACAATATGTAACGACAGTGGAAATCTATCTTGAGCACCCGAATGTTAACAATGAGGCTGAAGAGAGTGAATCAGCTTTGCAAGATGCTCAATCAGAAGCACATGATGGTGAAACTGCTTCGCAATTGATTCGGTAATAGAAATGAATGAGGTCCGAGATAATAGTGAACCTGACATGCATGATGAGTGTGTAGAAGAAATAATTGCTTAGTTATGAGGAAGAGTATAATGAAGCTCATAGAGATACACCTCTAGGTTCGGATGATGAAAAATGTGACATCAAAAGTGGTTATGAAAGATGGAGAAGAGAAAGTGGAGAGTTGAAAATCATGCAGGTTTTTGAAAGCATATACGAGTTCAAGGAAGCTGTGTTAGAATATGCATTGGGAGGAGGTTGGAATGTCAAATACACAAAATGGGAAGATTAAATTTCCAAAGCAAAGTATGCAGTAGTGGATGATGTTCCTTGTACTTGGAGAATCTACTGTTCTGATAAGAAATCAGTGTAGCAGTACATGATGAAGTCATTCAAAGAAGAGCATACTTGCACCAAAGACGGGTATTGCAAGTTATTGACTGATCATGTGATTGCTAAGCTTCTGATAATGAGATCAGACATGATAATGCATTGATGCCAAGATTCATACAAGAAAGCATTGAAGACAGATACAACTTGATGATGACACATGATATCATTAGAAAGGCTCGAAAGAGAGCAATGGAGATGATACATGATGAGTTTGATGAAAAATTTGCAAGGATAAAAGACTACAAAGAGCAAATTCTAGAGTACGTTTTGTTTTATAATTTTTTTGTTATAATTTTAGTTGAATTTTTCTCTGACTTATTGGCTCGTTTTCTTTGACAAAACAAAACCCTGGATTTACATGTGATGTTGTAACAAACATTTGAGCTGATGGTGTTGAGATATTCAACAAGTTTTATGTATGTTTTAAAGCTTTGAAGCCAATATGGAGAACTTGTTGTCGATCCATTATTGGGATTAATATGTGCTTTATGAAAGCTACTTCAAAAGGACAACTCCTTGCAACTGTGGACGAGACGCAAACAATCAAATATATCCTGTTGCGTGGGGCATCTTCAAGTTGAGGATAACGACAACTGGAAATAGTTCATTCAAAGGGTGAAGTATGATATAAACCTCTAAAGTGGTCAAAGATTCACACTTATCTCTGACAAATAGAAGGTAAGCCTAATTTTTTTTTCCTGAATTGTTGAATACATATTCTTACGGTTTTCATTATTTTCAGGGTCTTATAAAGGCAGTCACTGAAGAGCTTCCTCATATAGAGCACCCACTACAAAAAAAAGGTTAGTTTGAATCATTTATTTTTTATATATGCATTAGTTATAAATGATGTAAAATACTTTTACATCACTTACAAAAATGACTTAGTTTTTGGTGATGCAAATAATTTGAATCAGTTTGTTCAAAATTGATGTAAAAATAGCTAATATTTCCATCAATTACTTTTAAGTGATATTAATAAGTGTCAGTTGATAAAAGTGATGTTATTATTTACATCATTTAAAACAAATGATGTTTGTATTAGTGTCAGTTAAGCAAATTGATTGTAATTATTTAAATCATTTACTATTAGCTGATGTAACGTTAATATCACTTTGAGAAATGATTTTAATAATTATATAATTTATAATTAATTCTATAATTTATAATTATTAATTACAGTTATTTATCAACTGTAAATAATTGACGTTGGACTTAAGTTAATCTAAAAACTTACCAGGAAAAACATTATATAAAAATTTTCATTAATAATTTTTCTCATTGTATGACATAGAAGGAAAATAAATCGTATACATAGATCTCTAATAAACTCTTGATCAGCCATTTCCACGTAGCTTCATCAATCAAGTACTCAGATCATGCCATCTCCTTCACAGCCTCCTAAGATTTATCATATGCCCGTGGTTCCCCTCTCCTTGAAATAATCTAATGCATCATTAGTGAGAAATTTTTTTGCCTGCTAGCCCTCTCTCTGGACTCGAGAAAATTAGATGAGACAAAACAAAACTTCTTTGTAAGGTCTGTTCAATGAGTCCATGATGTTATCCATCTCAATCCTTCTCCCTTCAAAAACTGCTCAGTGCTCACACCAAATATCATCCAATATGACAACATGAGATTTCAAGTTTTAAACCATTAGCTTTTCCAAACAAAATCAATAAGCAAGAGAGATGAGTAAAGTCTAAATCTTTAGAAAAGAATTTGGCAATAAAAATCCTAAACTCACTGACAGAAATCAAAACCTCAAGAAAGCTATTCTGAAATCAAAAGAGAAATAATACCTTTTTAATCTTGTTCCCATCAAATTCCGTAGCAACCCTTAGTTTACTTTCAAATCATGCATAAGAAAAACCAAAATCATCAGCATCGTATAAGAAAAAAAGCTTCACGCCACTAATAACTCGTATAAGATTTTTTTTTTAGTTTTTAATTAAAGAACTGATCAGAACAGTTATATTGTTCAGCAAAGTTTAAAAATGAGAGGGGAGAAGAACGTGGAAGTGGGATAGTGAGATCTAGAATATGCTTTTTGGAGATGAAATGGCTAAGAACAAAACCGAATTTAATTAGACTCACAAGAAAAATAAATTAAATCCACAAAAATCTTAATTACATCTCGTAATCTACGGTTTATCTAAAAATTTAGCCTATCTTTTAATAAGTTTTATATTAGAACAAATTCAAATGACGAAAATTAAAATAAAATTACAGCATCATATTTATTAAATTAATATTAAAAGAAAATATAGTAACGGATTTATATTAACATCAGTTTCTTATTGATGCAAAATTTTGTATCACTTTAGTTATTGATGTTAACCCAAAAAATAAATGCATCAGTTACTTAATCAATGTAAATATATATATAATAATATCCGTAACTTTAAAAATGATACAAATTAATAAAAAGTGTATCACTTTACTGAATTGATGCCAATTAAATTTATAATAACATCATTTACTATTACTAATGTTAATTTATATATATTTGTATCATTTATGAATCTATATTATTAAAGCAGAATCCTATTAGGATTCTGCTCTTGGTTTTTAAAGTTAATTACAGTGGCATGCCATTCATGATATTTACAGTAAAACCTCTATAAATTAATAATGTTGGGACTTTGAAATTTTATTAATTTATAGAGATGTTAATTTACAAAAGTTTCCTTATTTAGATTTTTTTTTCTATTTTTTCCATTTTTATTTATAAAATAAAAAATATTTGATTTTAGCATATGTACATTATTTAAATTTTAGAAATTTGACTTTTATATTGTTTTATTATCTTATTTGGTGTATATTTTTATGTTTCATAGAATTGCTACATGGTTTTCGATATAATTTAACTAAATATTATCAAAATATATTTAAATGTTTAAAAAATGAAAGTATTTTTATAGTAAATATAAAACCCTTAACTAAATATGATCAAAATATATTGAAATGTTTAAAAAAATTAAAGTATTTTTATAGTAAATATAAAACCAATAATATAATATTAAATTGTACTTATATAAAATTATATATAGATAGATTATTAATTTATGATTTTAGTGGGACCATATATTTACATAGCATTTTTAAAAATATTATTATTTTATTATTTTATCGATTAGTGTCATATTTTACACTGGCCCAAATTGGGACCGGTGAAATTTATTAATTTATAGAGATTATTAATTTATCAAGTATTAATTTATAGAGGTTCTACTGTATGTCTTTTGTTCGATGACCTAATCTAATTTTTTTTTACAATTGTATCATTTAAACCATCCGAATAATCTTAACAACTAAGGGCATCCCCATTAGTGAACCCCCCATGGGGTTCACACAGATTTCCATAAAAAAAAATATTAAAATAATGAATAGTGTTGAACCCCATCTATTCCGAGCTCTTCCCGGTGAACCTCTGTCCAACGGGTTCAACACTGTTCACGACACGTGTCAACCATTCATTGGTTCGATTAATTTTTTTTTTTTTTTTTTTAAAAAAGCAAACAGTAAAAAATAATAATAAAAAATTAAAAATATGAACCCCAAGAGGGGTTCACTAATGGAGATGCTCTAACTATACCCTAATTATATGGTGGCGTACTTTATTCTTCTACCTTTCTCTCTCTTTTTTGTTAATAGCTGTAGTGATCTGAAAGAGTCTCCTCCAATTGGAACATTGCAGTCAAGACACAAAGTTTATGGAGTCCTAAAGATCGTTAAAGATCTCTTTTTTCTCTACAACAATCTCAGCCATAGCGAAAGCTACCAATTATGACAAGTGTCGTCCTAGAGATCGCCGTCTTTTCAAAAGTGAGTGGTTTTCATTTTTCTGTTATCAATTATTTTCTAGAGAATCCCTTGATCTCTAAAATGATTCCTCTATTGTATCTCTTTTGCAGAAATATTAGCGGTAACAGTGGTGACTTGTGCTCTAGCAGAGTGGTGACTTGTGCTCTAGCAGATATCGCATATTGCAGTCACACCCTTTCCCTCCACTTGCATAAACCAGAAACTAAACGGTACTTATTCATTCTATCCTTTCATCCATGGGTTTTGAGTATAAGCATGTTGATTTTTTTTGAGGTTGAAGTTAATAAACAAGATCGCCTTATCTGTATTCTCTATTGTTCTTGCTTCGACAGATTGCACTGAAAGCACTAATGTGATTGACTGGCTACTAAGTGAAGGAGACCCCACGTTTTTAGAGGAGCTTTCTAATTTCAAGGAGGATTCAAGCCCTATTGGTTAGTTAGTCGTCAATTCAGTGTAGGCATAGTCTTTTGAATCAAAGAAGTTTTTATAGAGTATTTTTTTTTCTCTCACACAGCCTGGGATTGTTCAGTTTGGATACGTACTTATGCATTGTTTCTTGAGGAACGACTTGAAAGCTTCAGGTTTTTAAAATATAATACTGAAGCAGAACGTCTTCCTAAGGCTACCCCAGGACATAATAAGATATCAAATATTCATTTACTATGTCTTGCGTTTTACCCTCTCTTTCAGATGTTTTTTTTTTTTTTTTTGCGTGTTGTGGATTTGCAGAGGTACAGTAGATCAAGGAATTAGATGGTGAAGTGCTTTTGGTATAGTTGCCAGTTTTGCAGCAGCGACATTAATTATCGCCCCCATCACAAGTGGCAATTGTGAAAACAGATGGATCAATCAGTAACACCTAATTGTTCACAGCAAGGCTCTGCAGGTTCACATTATAATGTGGCCTTAAATGTTATTTTGTAGCATATTATCTGAATCCAGACGTGGGGTCATATATTTTAGTTCCTTTTCCAAGCTAAACAAACATCATTCATTTTAGTTTTTATTCCAAGCTTAACAAACATCATTTTATTTTCATAAGTTCAGCTATTCCAGATCATATGGTTCCTACACGAGAGATGGATAGCAAAAACGCACGTTTTTATATACGTGAGAATTTTATCACCACTTAAACCATGAATCTACCCTCTTGAACTTATGTAATTCAGATATGATGGAACATGAGGAGTGTAGGCAATATCCAGTCTCTTTATTTCCTAGAACCATTACACCCCCACCAAAACGGTAACCAAATAAATCCTTTGATTTTATCTATGAAAACAATCACAAATTTTAGTTTAAATATCTAACATTAACAACTTTTATTTTTAAATGGCAATGATGCTTATATTGTATGACTAATATTTTGGTAGAGATTTACACTGAAAAGAATTCAAACAATTAGTAATTAACCCAATTTGGATTGTGTTGAAATCTTATAAATTCAATGTTTAAGCTCAATATGATAACACATTAGTTATTGTAGGATTAAAAACTCAAACAATATAATATAGATATAACTATCTACAAAAAATATAACTTATGATCTTTATGACTACAAATATTAATAAAAAATATAATAAATTAGGATTTTGAAATAGAATTAAAATCTAGTAAGTAATTTAAATTAGAACCATTTAGTTTTGTGATACAATTTAAGTGATGTATATCATCTCTTTTTTTGTAGTGACCGTATGTGCGTTAGACACGTATACGGGAACGTTAAGAAGTTACACTCCAACAAAACTGAGTTAAAAAAACTGTTTTGGGTAACAACAAATAGCTTCAACGAGGGTGATTATAAAACGACACTTAAATGATGTAAGAAAAGGACATCTTGTCCAAATGGTGTTTCAGAAGTACAGAAAAACAAAATTTCCTACACTGTCAATATTGACAAGCGAACATGTAGCTGTAGAAGATGGGACCTCACCGAAAAACAAAACTTCCTACACTGTCAATATGAACAAGCGAACATGTAGCTACACAAACAAAATTTCTTACACTGTCAATATGGACAAGCAAACATGTAGCTATAGAAGATGAGACCTCACTGAAATTTCGTGTCATCATGCTTTAAATGTGATTAAAGATAAAAAAACTTTATGCCGAGGATTTTGTGACAAATTTTTACTTGATCACTTTTTGAAAGAAGCAATACAGTGATTCAATCACTTCTGTTGAATGAATGAAGTTCTGGAAATATGTTCCTGGTTCTCAGATTGAACCACCGCTAAGACATAAAGAGAAAGATCGGAAGAAAAATTCACCAAAGAGGAAGAAGTCAATTCATGAATCTCCTACAAAAAGGAAAAAAATTTCAAGACAATCGACGGTGATTCATTGTTATCGATGTAGTATGGAATGGCATAACGCTTCATTATGTACACAAACTGGAGCCCCTAATAGGCCGTGAAAGATTTATCCAAGGAAGAATGCCATTTTGTTTCTTTTCTCAAAATCCATATCCTTTCTTTTGTTCCTTTCTTTTGTGTCCTCTTTCATCATTTCGTGACGAAAGAAAATACTAAAACATTAAGATAGAAAGGTGCTTTCAAGTCTATTTTTGTTGCTTTTTGATATTTGAGTCATTGAAAAAAAAAAACCTAAAAGAAAAGGTTTGAAGAGTTAGCTATACAGAAAATGGGATATAAGAAATGACTAAACTACAAACCTCTCTAGTCTTTCTTTCTTACCTACAAAAACAAAAAACAACCTAGGAGCTTCTATTAATAACTGAAGAAGTGCCTTATTAGGATATCAAAAGATGTGTGTCTCTGTAAAGGTTCTGTTTCATCAGCTTCAAGCTCCCCGAGAGAGTACTCCTATTCAAGCGTGGACTGCAACGACTTCCTGTGTTAGTAGTAGTCAGCTTCTTGGCTTCTTCTTCTTCTTCTTCTTCTCAAATCTCAAGTGTAAAGAGCAGCTCCAACAAAGTTTTCTCTAATTCATGAATTTCCTGCAGTTGGCAGATTTGCATAGACATGGCACCTTGAATTCATCCGGCTCATCTGGATCAAACAAATAATCATATCTGCCAAAAACAAAGCATACCCAACCATAATGTCAAGTCATATTTAGTGAATGAATCAAAAGGGTGTGATAAGAGAGTGATTAGTGTATATTATACGTTAACTCCTCCCCAGTAGGTACGGTGGCCTTGGCAATCAGCACAATCCGACTTTCGTCATCTCCTACACTCATTATCCTTGCATAGCAATTCGGCATACACTGCATCACACCAACACAACACACCAATTAGTGTTTTTAGACTCTAAAGACTCTCTGTTCAATGAATGTACATGATGGATTGCTTACTGAATGGTTTATTAGTCTAGCGATATTCCCTTTTTCTGTAGCATCCACCACTACTTCCTCACTGATCTTAAACAGCTGCAGCAAATCCAAAACAAACATAAAAGAGTTTCAGAAATCTTATACTCAAACCCATGTCAAGACTGTAGGTAGCAAGAGAATTCAACTCACATAGCAATCCTTCCCTTCCCTACGATATCTTGCTTCCCTTAAGTCTGCAATGATTCCTCTCACTTGTTCCCCGCGGTATTCAAGAACCTGAAAACAAAAATTCATTCCAACACTTAACACTGATTTCCTTCATGGAATGGAAGAGGTACTGTTATGTTCAGATGGCTCTGCCTACCATTTCTCCTTCTTGGATATTTCTTCTCGCGAAAAGACCCCATCCATGTATCCCAGATCGACCAAAGCACACCCTATCCATTTCAGTCCTCTGTCACAAGACATGAAACTCTTGAGATGCTAATACAACAAGATACATGTACGTAATCTCTTCCAAACTTATGGAAAATCTTACCTGCAGGTGGTGAAGCCGTTCCCTGAATGAGGAAAATGATTTGGGTTCTTCTGCTACATGCTACACAATTATATTTAGCCAAAAAAAGATTCAGTCTCAAGGTAAGTTTCCTCATGCAATTTGTTTATTAGCACTACAGAGAACAAAATTCTTACCCTGAATGCATTCAGAGCTTGGATCGCTGCTGCAGGATGATGACGTGGTCCTCCAGTGTGGTGAGGAATACCTTCTTCTTCAGTCCTCTGTAAATCACAAGCAGGCACACACATTGGATCAGCCTACTAAACAAAGATGATTTAAACCTATGCATAACGCTTCAACAAAGATTTACCTTCTTGCTATTAACCTTTCTTTTAAACACTCGACAACGAGCACAAGAAAATGGATCAACTGGTACAGCCTCCTCAGCAGGCGGCTCTTCAATTTCTTCTCTGTTTGCTAAAATAAGCCTAGAACCTGTACTCTTTTTGTTTTGAGCAAGATTTTTGGCAGAGAAGACACCTGAAGGCGTTTGTATTATTAGCACAGTATCTGGATTCGGCTCCCTACACCAATATAAAACAAGTTAGACAACACAGAAACACAAAACTTATATATCCAAAATCATATTGCAAAGACCATTTACCTGTGAAAAGCACAATACGACACCATCTTTGTAATCTGTCGACCATTTTTCACCAAGCAGTGCAACTACATTCAAAATGTGCATATATTAGCAAACAAGCTTATAGTATAAATACGAAAGCAGGAGTCAGTCAGATAAAGTAAAGAACTTGTTACCTCCATTCTATAGCCAGCTCGGGAGGCACACATGGCATGATAATAAGTAGAGCACTTGCAACACTGAGTGCATGAGCCATGTATTTGCTTGCAAATCACACAGATCTGTTATTCATAAACAAAAAGGAGAATAGTTTTGCTTTTAAGTTTTGCACATGGGATAGGGACAAGTTACCATGGGAGCTAATCAAATGATAGTGATAACTTACATACCTTCACAAAATTACTTGATGGAATACTCAAAATCCCCAACGCTGGTTCCATTTTTTCATCACTGGCAAAACATACTTCAGGCTGAAACCAAGCACATGTCACGTGAACCCACAGTGTCTCCACATCAGTTGGCTTCAATGCACCTCCTATTGATCAGTACACAAAAACTTGCCAAAAGTTAGTTGACAGGCAATAATGCTAAAAATGCTCTTTTAAGTAATATGCATAGGTGCCACTAGTTGTAACAGTAGAAATAAGAAGACCATGTTTAGTACGCGTCACCAAGTAAGTACTCCAAAAGGGAATGACATACCTTTTACAGGGCAGAGGCAACACTCTCGTTTGATCTCAGGGGTCTCGCAGGCTTTGCAGACCCATGATGTGAAGTCACGAACGTTTCTCGTCCCATAGCATTCCTGATGAACTGCTATTTGGCATCTGAGGATAAAAAGGAACAGAGAACATAGTTTTCAATGATATCAGATTATGCTCCACAAGTCAGATAGTTTCCATTAAAAATTCCAAGAAAACAACTATCAGGTCTGAAAAGATTAGAGCAACAACACATTTTAGAACAGCACCTGTTGCAAATAATGATCTTGTTGTAGTCCCAATCTTCAACCCATCTGCAAACTGCACATCGCTCTGTTGTCCACTTCACATTGACCGGCTCATATTTCTCTGCCAATAGTGAAAGAACAAGTCAACATAAACACAGCATAACACAACAGAAACTCTTTGATAAGTTCTGAGATCCGATTTGCGTACTACCTCTAAGAAAGGAAAGCAACCTCTGCTTTTTCTGCTTTATAGAAGGTCGTTTAGGAGGTTTTGCTGCAGTAGCATTTGCGTGGAACTCTGCTAATTTCATCATCTGTAGAGTGAAGGAATATGGCAGTCAAACTTTTATGTAATTGATAGGATGACAAGTACAAAAGAAAGAGAGGAAATTAAGAATGCACAAACCCATTCTTCTAGGGGCAGCTTGGAGCTTTTAACTTTAACACTAGTCTTCCAATTTTTTGCTTTTGAACCAGTATGCCTTTCCCATTCACTAAGTGCTTTCCTTTCGGGTCCACAAGATCCACACTTGCACACGACTCTGTAAATAAACCAAATGGAGTGACAATACTTTCTAGATCATTAAACATAGAGGTTAAAAGGTCATTGCTTTGCCCAGTTCCAGACTAATTCTGAGGCACGAAAAGTGAAGACATTGTGAAATAAAGATCAGACGGTGTCAACTTACAAATGAAGACTTGGAAAATATATGCCTTCAATTCCGGTGCATACAACAATAACCTTGTCAGGAAGCACCATGGGAGAACTGTTTTTGCCATGTCTACACCATAAAACTCTCAACTTCAGAATTTGGTACTCACAACTCAATTGTTGTTAAAAATTAAAACAGTTGGAAGCAAGTAGACCTACTTGGATTTTGACTCTTGTTTCTCTGAATCTGATAGATCAAAGTTAAACTTTGTTCTGCATGTTGGACAATAGTAATCTGTTTCCCCCAAGTCCTTCAGGTTATTCAAACGAAAACTGATCTCAGCACAGGCAAGTAACAAGGAACAAGATAACCTTGACAGAGAGCAACATGGACATGTACCTTAAAATGCTTATGCGATATTTGATCACACACTGCATGAATCCAGATTTTACAACCATCACAACGCACCTGTAAACCATATGTAATCAAACAGTAAGATTGCTAAAGAAATACATTAGGTGATTCTAGACTACAAATATATAACATGATTTGTATGTCTTTTTACCCAGCGCTGACTATCAGAATGATTCCATGTCTTTGTGCATATACCACAAACCTGTTTTGGTTTTGTCAACTGTAACAATAATTAGTTTTTGAGTTTACTGAACTGAAACTGGAATAAGAAGGAGAATATCAGAAACTTTACGTACTCTTGAACAAGGTTTACACAATAACTGGTCTCCGGGAAGAAGAGCTTTCATTTTCTTTGCCATTTTAAAAGAAAGGACCATTCCACATCCTACACAGGCTCTTGGATTTCTATATTTCTTCAACATGTCCTGCAAACAAATAAACTCAGTTTCTATAACCATCAAGGTATAAACTATACATTCTACCCCCAAGAAAAGAGAAACTTGCCTGGCTTGGAGCAACGTGATCAAGATATTGGCTCGAGCCTGCGGCTTCCTGAATCCATCCATATACAGATTCATCAAATGGCTGGTTACCAGCGGCCATGTGAATATCCTGCATCAACTTCTCTGTGAATCCTTGGTCTGCCAAAAGAGCTTCCTCAAGTGCCATCTTAAAATCACCAGGGTTGCATCCACGCAGCTCGGACTGTTCTTGAAACCTAAGTAAGAAGTAGTAAACTATTAAACAAAACATCCAAATGCAAACAAACACTATCTTTTTTTGTAAGATTCTTGCAATGACACACCTGTCTACATACTCCACAAATGGGAAGATCATGCCCCTTCTGACCCATGCATAGTCCTGTAACATAAACTCAAGTTATACAAACATCTTCTAGAAACATACAAGAAGACAAACATACACATACCCTTTCATTCTCAGTCCCAGAGTGACCAAAGAACATGACACATGCAGCATCAGGTATACAAGAGCGCAAAACAAGCTCAGGCGCTTGCGTCATGGGATCAATAACAATAGCTGGCCAAAACGGCTCACTCCTCCCAGACTTCCCCCAAACCAAATCACCAGCGTAAAAATCCTCGGGCCCATAAACACCCTCTTTCTTAGGACGTGCCTCCTCAAGCGTACTAGTCCGTGTCTGCTTCCTCAAGTCAAAGCCGTTATTACTATACCTTACAACCTCATCTTCACCCTCATCATCACACAATGCATTACTACTACTATTGTACTTATGGTTCCTAGGAGTGAACTTAGCTTTGACTTTCTCCTTCCTGCATCCCTCAACCTCTTCCTCCCTCTCTTCACCACTATCTTTCCTCCAATTCTCGAGAACAGAGTCGTTAAACCGAGAAGGAAGCACCTGAACTCTCCCCCTTGATGTCCTCACAAGCGGTGGCCGTGAAACACCAGCCGTGCGATCCCTTCCACGGCCAGGATCAGAAACTATCCTCTTAGACTCATCCTCCTCAGCCTCAAGGGGAGAAGAAGAAGAAGACACTTCCTTGCACCACAAAGCAGAGAGCCCATTCTTCCCGTTGAGTTTCCCTGGAACTATCCCTGCTGATATCTCCCCCAGAAGACTGAGAGGGTAATAGTAACTAACCTTCCTCTTCTTCCGACAAGCTCCACCTTCCTCTTCCTCGTTACTACGTGGCATTCGTTTCAATTTCCGTTTGATAATCATTCTTCAAACCCTAATCCAAGTTGTGAACTTTTTAATCGGTGTTTGATTGAAACTAACAGAAACGCACCTTCTGGGATTGACCCGCTACCGTAGATCGCATTCAATTGCACAAGAATTGATTTTTTTTTTTGGGTCAAGAACAGAGAGAGAGATCTGTTCTCGAAAAAATCTTTCTCTCTCTAGAAAACTAAAAGAACCACCCAGAACGAACACAAGATTGCGTTGATTCTTTTTTTGATTTGGATAAGGGAATTAAATGGAATGCTGAATCGAAAAACGAAAGCTTTTTGTTTTGGTTCGGTGAGGAAGTTTTAGAGAGAGAGAGAGAGAGAGAGCGTGACAGAGTTGTTAAGAGAGAGAAGACGACGACGACGAAGGGGAGAGAAGAAAATAAAAATATATATATAAGTATAAGAGAGATTTGGTTTTCGACTTGAGACGTGTGCACATTACCGGCGATTGATGTAATTTGGCTAACTTGCGCGCTTATTTATCCCTTCCTTCCTTGCTCGATTTCTTGTCTTCTGGTTTTATTAGAGTTTGTAGACTTATTTTCATCTTCATTGTGTTTTTCTTTTTGCTGTTTGGTTTCTTTCTGTTTTTCTCTCCAAAACATGAAACTGTGTTTGCGTGTTTCTTTTTTTTTTTTATTAGAACCTAATAACAATTTCCAAGAACTATGGAAGTATGGAACTGGAACTGAAACTGGAAGTTACATGGTACGATATATTAACAACACTGTACTCGCGAGCTCTTGTTTTGTTTTTTCGTAACCTTTTTTATTTCTTTTTAAAGTAAACTCCTCGTTTTCCTTAGAAGCTTTTATTTTTTTTTTGAAAAAGAAAGAAGTCAACTTTTTTTTCTTTGTAGGTATATAGTTTTCCTTGAACTCATTACTCAGCTTTGTTCTTTTTTTTTGGGGGGTTTCAAAAGAGTAATCGTGAGAATCCAAGTCTTTTGGATCAAATTCGATGGATGACTCAAATCGGCCAGAAGTTTAATTGTTCCGTTGCCCGATTGTTCTGGGGATTTCAGTATCATTAATAATTTATTTTAAAAAGCACTCGTTGGATGATTTGAGTGAAAGAAACACTGGGACGAATACAGAGTAAAAACTAAAAACTAGTATGAGTAGTTTGAAAACGCCAAAAGAATGTTTGTTTTTGATATATATTTTTTTTGATGTGTCATGTGTTCACTGCATTTGTTATGTACTGCATATAAGTAAAAGCTTCATCCGAAACACCGGTAACACCAAAGGGAGTTAGTTATTGAGCAAGAAACCTGTGCAGTTGGTAAAGAAAACAAGAAGAGACACCAATGAATGTGAGGTTGAAACAAACAAAAACCTTATGACTGGTTTAAATCACTTGGGGGATCCGACCCAATTGTCTTGTTGATTTCTCTTTTATAAACTCAAATCGAATCCTGCTTTTGCAACAAGATTAAACGAATTAGAATAATATTTCTGTTTAGATCTGATTGGTTCTTTAATGATAAAAAAAATTGTTTGGATAATCTAATCTATTAAAAAAAAGTATAAATTTAGATTATCCTTTAGTTTTCACAATATTTACATTGCTATGCCACTTATGTATTAAATGAAGCTATATTTATAGATATTTTTATCTTTTTCAAAATTAATACAATAACAATTATTCCTAATTTTATGTTTTTCCATTTTTTTTTTAAATTAGGAAAATATTATCTAAATTAATGTATACATTGCATAGTTATATTTTTTAAACTACATCATATCAATACCATTAACATCAATACACATCAGTAACATAAATGAGCTTTATGTAATAATATGTTACATTTGTCTCTATGATCATTCTCCCATCGTTATTCTTCTTTTATTCTTTTTTTCTTTTGTTCTGAATAAATTTATATTCTCACCAATATAAATATATTACATACACCACTATAACTGTTTATCAAATTTAAAGTAAAATTTGTATTTAGTGTTTTATTTATATTGTCTTAAGAGTTATTGTTAAATGTTTGCATATTTTTCGGTTAATACTATTTTTGTTCTTAATAAAATATTATTTTTCACCCACATAATCTTTAAGAATATTTTATACTATAAAAAACTAAATTATTTGTTAAAAATTTGTGCTCATTCCTTTTTATAGAGGGAACAATAAATATTTTTTTATAAGTTAGCTTATCTATAAATAAAATTCTATAACTGATTTAATGCATCTTTGATTTAGCATATACAATATATCTTATTATATAAAGCTTGGTTCTTCAAAGTTAATAATTAATAAGATTGTGATACATGGCAATTATATATTTAAAATTAAGACATGTGTTAAATTATCTCATAATTAATATATATATATATACAATTATTTAGATAATGAAAAAATAATTTTTGTTAAAAACATAATTTAGAAATATTATGTAATAGTAATTTTCTATTTTTAAATCCTAAATAAAAGATATATACAAAAAAATATTGGATAATAATTTTCCTTTTAATGTGTCTATTATGCTTATGTGTGTTTGTTTTTATGTAGTATTTGTATATAGTATTTTGATATTGTATGTAAGTTAATGTGTCTATTATGCTAATGTGTGTTTGTTTTTATCGACACTATAAAATTATTCATGCTGTTGTAGGTGAGTTAATTTTAATGTCAATTTGTTATCTTTATGTACTATTGTACTTATGCTTCATTGTTAAATTATATAATTAAAAAACTAACTTTAAAAGTAGTAGTTATACAAATGGTAAAATAATAATTTTAAAATCATTTATGAGTATTGAAATAATTATTTGATAGTAATCTAATTTTTGGAAATTCTAAATAGAAGATAATTGTAAATTATTGTATGATAGTAGTTTTTATTTTCTAAAATCTTAAACAAAAATTTAAAATAGTATTTGATATTATTTTTTGTTTTTAAGTTATAAATAAAAGAATATAATATTTTCTTTTTAAAATCATAAGAAAATGAATTTTTTTAAAAAGTAATTAACATTAATTTAAAGCATAAATACTTTGATGATAAACATGATATTAAAACAATTTAATTAACAAAAAAATTAAAAAATAGGAATTTGTTGTGATTAGTTTTATATTGGTTTTTGTATGTGTTTGGTCATACAAAAATCAAACACATGTTTGGTATTCTTGTATTTAGTCATAAAAATAGGTTATTATTATTATCACCTTAAATGATCTTTATATGTATTTAGTCAAAATTAAATCAAGTTTTATCGTCTTCTTATTACATCTGTGTTTTAGAATATAGTACTTCTAATTCATTTTACTAAAATTTTAATATGAAAATATATAATTAAAATGAATTCAAAAAATTATTTAATAATAGATAATTTTAATAAAACGGTCTTATTATTAGTTGGAAATGAGAAACACGTAATTCAAAAATAAGTATAAATTATGTACACATAGAAAAAGTTATAAATTCAAAAACTGGAAAAAACTAAAAAAGTTGTTTGAAATACTATAACTTAAATACTATTTTTAATACTACATAAAAAATGTATAACATCTGAATTTATGATTTAGTGTTTAGGGTTTAATATTTAAGGGATGAAATTAAATTTATAAAGTTATATACAAACTCCAAATGATATATATGATATTAAATGTATATAGTTAAAATGAAATTAGAAGAATTTCTTAATTACCTCTAAGATCGTCTTCTTAAACCATATTAAAATATATAATAACACAATTTATTTATGTATTTATTTTAGGATTTATCATCACAAAATTATATTTTTGTCTTCATAAAAACTATAGTTAAAAATATGTTTTATTATAAGATACATGTATTGATGGTTTTATTATCACTAATTACATGATAAAAGTGATGATCAAAATTATTTCTATGGTTGAATAATTAAAAATTCAAAATCACGTAATCAAAAGATATATTGATGGTCACAAATGCATAAAAAATTAAAAAAAAATCTTACAGTGGCAGTAAAAATTTCACTAAAATGACCAATAAACATCAGAATAAATTTAAATAATAAGAATAACATATTTAATGTCAAATAAAAAATATTGGATTGGTACATATAACAAGTGTATGATATGTGTATGATATTGTCATTAACTTGATTGACCTTATAACTTTCAACTTTTTTTTATTTCACTCTAATTTTTAATTTGAATTAGACTTAGTTTAACCTTTTAGTTATGAGTATTTTTCTGACCTTAAGTATGAAGTTAAAAACAATTCACTTATGTGCCATCATTATTAAAATACAAATATTAACAACAATTTATATCGGTAAACAAATTTTAAATTCTGAAATATCTCACACAACATAGTATACAAAAATAATCCCAAAATATAAAATAATTTATTATTTTATGTTCTTTGTAAAATTAAAACATCAAATAAAATCTCTGTTGATTAAATACAAATACTAACCAGAACTTTATGGGAATTCTAAAATAAATCTCACACAACATATTCAAAAATAATCCTAAAACTATAACATGAATTATTATTTTTTATATATTTTATAAATATTAAAGCATCAAATAAAATATGTGCAACGTACATGTTCATATCTAATGTATTTGTAATCTTACATTTTTATGATCTGTTTAAATAAAATACACGGATAAGAAACATGATAAAAATATACAGATAAAAAATCATGATCAAAATAATAACTTTCTATCTTTATGCTCTTACAAATAGATCAATAACCATGATCACAATATAAATATGAAGCCATATTCATTTAAATTATAAAATATAAATGGTTAATTTATGTAATATATAAATAAAATATAAATTAGTAAAAATATATATATGTTCGGACGAGCGGGGTCTAGCTCTAGTTCATCATCTAACTTGTTTAAAAGGGATTAAGATCTAACTTGTTGCGGTGCTTACAAGCAAAGAAATATCAAATCACTTTTTACTTCACATTATCTAATAAATAATTATATAGGAATTATAGAGACATAATCTACACATCTAACCACCATTACATGACTTAAAAGCTTATTTAGAGAACTCCTTAATATACAAGAACTAATTTGAATGCTTATATAACATTTTAAGATTAACATATAGTTTTATAAATAACACAAAACTAGTTTCTGATGAGATGGGCCTTGTCTCCTTATTCTTCAAGTTCTTCCTTTTCGCTCAGAGTCCCATCCCATCCCTTTGAAACCATTCTTACTTCCTCTCCTCTGTTTTAGCAAACCTTCCTCGGATCCTTGGTTGGTTATCCGCAAGAGCTTTCCTACAAGCATACTGACACCAAACCAAACAAATCTTGAGTTACTTTGAGCTTAAAAAAAAAATTAGTTCTCGATCAGTTAAACGTCTTCAAAATGTTTTTATTTTTTAGCTAAAATGATTACTTTTGATAATCATTTAAAGTGTTTTGTTTGTATACCTTGATTTTGCGCCCAAAGTTTCTCCTGCTCTTCTTGTTCCTGTATCGTGAAAGCTTCTCACGACGATCCTCTGAAGTACAGCTCACAATAATCCTATCCAATGGAGATTGAGCTAGACCAGTACCAAGTTTCTGCTCATCAAAAATATACACTCAAATCAGACTGTTCATAGTAATTTAGAGTCTAAAAAGGATTGAACAAAACAATGGTTCGTAGAACTGCTCAAACCTGTATGTCGCCTTCACTAAAGGCTCGTCGCATCCCATAGGCAGAACCAAAGTCTAACTGAGCAAAATCAGGGAAGTTCTGAATCACAACAGCTTCTTGTTGTGCCTGTGACCAATCCATAGAGCTCAAATTCCCTGAGCTTTCGCTCTTATGCATATCCTGGTTCTCATCGATAGTTGCCACCACAGAGACGTTCTTGATGTCTAAAACATCAGAGCCGACATCAGAGATGTTTTTGATGTCTAAAACATCAGAGAATGGAGACTCCATAGCTGACTTCATCATGAGATCTTGCTCACACTCATAGAAAGCTTTGTCAAGAAGCTGCTGACCACTTTGTAACGACCCGAGATCGAGATCAGGAAGCTCACAAAGCCCTTGGGAAGAGTCTTCACCGCAAGAGATCATGGTTAAAGCAGCTGAGAGTGGGTCAACGGCTAAGACTGGTTCTTCAAGAATTGGATCAGGGGCTTTGAATAGATCTCCTTCTTCTCCGATATCATACTCGTGTATGTGTGATGACTCAGCAAAAGCGTTGTTCTGCAAATAAAAAAGAGGTCACAATCACAAAGTAACATCAGAATCAAAGACCACAACACAAAACAGAACAGAACATAGTTCGAGACATTGAGACAGTAAAGCACGGATCTTTTTGGGAGTGGAAAGGGTATAGCGAATCTTTTTCTATCTTTAGTGGAGCCAATAAAACAAACCCATTTCTTGTTAAGGGCTAAAGAACAAGTCTTGAAGAGCACGGAATCACTCATGTTCCAGAAATTGTGGAATCTCATGTGAAATAAGAAACAACTCTCATAAAAACAAAAAAGGGTTTCTTTGGTTTTCCCGAGAAAACTACTTTTCTCTTTCACGGGCAAAAGAAAGAACTGGCTTTTTGCTGCACAAGAAGATTCTGTTTTATTAAAAAGATTCTCCTTTTTCTTCTGTCCAAAGAAAAAAAAGACCTAACTTTTATTTCCTACTCAAATTTCTCAGCAGCAGCCAAAACACACTTGTGGTCAGGTCAGCAGAACAAAAATATCTCATCAAGTGGCCACACAGCCACTAAACAGTTCACACCACAAGTTTTTTTTTGTCTCTGGAAAATTCAACTTCACTAGTAGACAAATTTGCTTTTCTCATCCTTCTTAACACTCCAAAAGAGAGGAAGGAAGAAAGGAAGATTGATTACATTAAAAAGACAAAAACCCTATCAGAATCTTCTGAGGAAACACACAAAATTTATAAAACCAACCAAAGAAAAAAAAGTAGAGTCATCACAAGTAAAAGAAGAAGACGATGTGTGTATTCAAATGCAGTGACATAGAAGGTTATAATGGAAAATTGAAATTCTAACCATGTCATCATCGGATAGCTTGTATGATTTGAAGAGGTCTTCAAATTGTTGAATATCTGGAGAACAGTTTTGCATGTAATGGAGCATTAACCCTGAATCTGCAAACATTTTGTGGTCTTGGTCTTTTGTTAGAGAAAGTTTTGGAGGTAGGAAATAGTTCTTTGCAGAGATAGGAGAGGAGAAAGTGAACATAAATAAGAAAGCAGAGGCCAAGTTGAGATTATTGAGAGGAAACCCTGAGAGAAAAAGCTTGGTACTTTGCTCTCCTCTTTGCCCTTTTTATGACAGAGAGAGGCTTATTACATTTATATTTGTATATTGGTGGTAATGTGGACACACTAGAGTTAAAAGCCCATTACTATTATTTTATTAAAAGTATATTATTCTATTTTATTTTCAGCATAATAGAAAACAAACAAAAAGGTGTCCACATACATTTAAATGCCTTTTGTTGTATCAGAACCTTTAATTTAGTGTTCTAATATGTATGACTTTTAAGTTCTAACTGTTAACCATAGAGAAAAAGTTCTGACTTGGTCAGTAGTAAACAATTGTTTATGTAGTGATATCATTGTTTTCATCAATACATTTTATATTTTCCCGGTTCATATTTATCTCGTGTCTTATGAATATGATGGACTTACTGATATGAAAAAGCCAGTTCATTACCACAAATATTTGTAGAAAATGGTACTGTCTTCACCTTAGTTCTTTTTTTTTAAGAAGGGCTTTACTGTCTTCACCTTGGTTGATATACTCTTTTGACATAATGCATACAATTATGAAAAGTTGCATATTACAGAATTTAGAGTATACTTACCATTTTTTTACAAAAAAGAATATAATTACCAAATTTCAAAAAGATTCATTAAGAAAATATTTCAGTCTTTTACATTTAAAATGGAAAATAATTAAAATAGAAAACAAAAGTCACTTTAGCTATTGGAACAGAGATCAATCATTTATTAAATATTAAAATAAATTTTAAATTATTTTATAATAGCATTTATAGCTAAAATCGTCACTTTTATTATGCAGAGAAACATGACTTTAGTGGAATCAAAATTTGATGAAAAAGCCGTATATGTGAACACTTAACCATTTGACTAAAGACACTTCTTCGAGTTTTAATTTATTTATTTTACAATACTTTACAGTATTTATGACTTGTTCCATATTTTACGGATATCTGATTTTATGATTTTCTTAATTTCGGAGAAATATGGATATACGAAAAGTTGAATATCTGCGAATATTTATGGATATTTCATGCACTTTATTTAATACATATAATTTTTTTTTAAAATAATACAAATTTATTTTCTAAAAATATCTTTTACATAATATAAAAGAAACATAAAAGTTCGTGAAACTATATTTCCATAAATTTAAATAATTAATCAATTTTTTTAATAAAACACAAAATTTAGAAAATTGTAATTTTTATTCCTTCTTAATCGAATACCTTTTTATCAATTTGAATTTATTAATTAGATTGTAAGTAGAAAGAAACACAAATTAAACACAAAATAAAAGAAAACAACAAATGATAAAATGATGTAAATTGTAAAGATGTCTTTGCTTTGGACGTCTTCTTCATTACTAGAGGTCACCTCTGTTAACTTCTTTGCGAACTAGAAGTCTTCATCGCATAAAAAATACTGGTATTTTTTTGTTGTACTACGTTGATCTTAGCCTAATTTTGGACTATAAATATTTTTCAGTCTAGAATCCAATATATTGATTCAATCATGAAAATTAAAATTGGGATAACCAATTTTCAACGACTGTAAGAATATCACCATACAAAAAGACATTTCATCTTCTACTCTGTTTGTCGTTTCTCAATGGTGGTTTCCATAGTTTCAACGATAATTAAGACTTATCCATATTTCAATACCAAATATACTGTATCAAAATATATATTTTACAAGATTCTTCACATGGTACTGAAGTTGATCGTCTCTTCCTGATCTCATTATGTAATTGTTTCAAATCTCAATATTTTCTTGGATACCGAACTCTTTGGCCGATGCACTATTTGTTGTGATGAATAAACAACGTTGCAATCGCAAACTGACAAGATCTTGTCAAACTGACATCGCAGTGGACCTTTTCCACCACGGAGATGAAATATATCATAGTAGAACTGTCGTATAACAGTACCACACCGACATCATAAATGGATTCCAAAATATGATACGTATCGAGTATTGTTGAATTAGACTTGTCCTTGATGATGTATGAACTGTTCTTAGATTCTGAAAACCTAGATTTTGATTCACCGCCAAGACAAGGCCGTTCCCAATCTCAGCCACGAGAAGGAGAACTGAAAAAACTACTTATTGGCGATTAGCGAGATCATCATGTGGACGTACGGATTGAAGAAACATCATCGGAATTACGATACACTGCCTTGATCATAGCCAGGCTTTGAGAAGTTGAGAGGAAAAGACAATCATAATAACGATCACCAATAACCGTCGACTTTTTCTTTCTCTTCAGTATTTTTTTATAATTTAATACTTTTATAAACAAAATTAATAAAATAATATGTTAAAATATTAATTATTTAAAATTATACATTTATAACTCTATATTTAACTATATATATATATATACATTTACTGTATAAAAGTCGGAGCATATTGAATATCCGACTCTAAATGTTTTAGTATTTGTAATTTACTTGGTTTTTGATGGATCTTAAATTTAATATTTATTTTGCTTCGATGACTAAGAATATCTGAATTTTTTGGGCTAAAAAAAAACAAATCAAATCAAATTTCACAAATAAAATTTTCAGTCTAATATGTAAACATGTAATTAGAACATATGACGCATGACGGCTTGCAAGGAAAATTCATAACCGTACTCCTTGTCAAATTATCACATGACTTCTTTTATATCCCATTTTTTCAATCACATGCTTCCTTTTCTTTTCAACAAAATGTCTGTTGACAACTGTAAAAATTAATTAAACAAGTAATAAAAGAAGAAGAGCTCCATCTAGCGTGTCTGTGTCAGCAAAAATAATCAATCAATCATCACGACATTTCGTTTCGCCATGTCAGCATGGCTTTGGGAAATGTTGGGCTTAATTTTTTGTTTTAATCCGATTTGTTTGATGAAACGGCCGTTAAGCCCAATCAAAGAGAGTTTTTACAATTAGGGTTTACTCATCTTTGCTTGCGGATCTGCAGGCTGCCTCGCCGTGTCTCTTCACATCTTAGCGCCTTCGGGCTTCCTCTCCGCACCATCATCGTCTTCCTCAGGTCCCTGTCTGTCCCGCTGCTGCTTCTCATCACCGAATCCTCCACCATCGTTCTCAGAAACCAACGGTGACCTAACCCTCTATCTACGTCGAGCTTCTTCTCCATCATCATTGCCATCAAGCTCGAGCAAACTCTCCACCGTGAAAATAAGCTTCGCCGACGTGGAAAGACCAACCAAAGAGCTCCATTCGTCGTCATGTCTTGCTTCTTCGTGGCCATCAAGTCCCAAATATTCTTTTGTCATCGTCGCTGGCTCGCTCGCCGTCACAAATCGAAGAGGAGCACGATCGAGGATCACCAATGGCGGATTCTCTCTTTTTGCATCTCTGGTCCTCATACTTCTGACTAATTACAATTTGACCCCAAAACTATTGAGTTCACAAAAAGTCTTCTTCAATTACGCCCACACATTTTGATTGTACAGATCAGACCTCCATAATTGCGCGACGGTTCTTGAACTTCTGGAAAATTTCAATTCGACCCTAACTTTGTAATTTGCATAGATAACCTTTTGAATTTAACATGAAACTTCCAAATGTTTACTCCAACCCCCATAATATGCAAATGAACATACTATGAAATATATACACCTAATATGAATTCTAAATGATTAAAATGAATCAAAACAAGACTTTAAAACTCATCAAAATCATATCATATCACATTCCTAATTGGAAGGAGATAATCAAACATCTAATATTATGATATTCTCAATATATTAGAAATGGTCAAACCATAAACCAATTAAAAATAATGTAAGGAAGACATAAAGATGTATTTCCAGTTATCACAAATATAGAAACAATTGACAACAACTTAATTATGTATAGCGTAAGACAGCAGAGAAGAGTTTCCATACCTTCTAATATTATAATATCTCACTATATTAGTGGATAAATCAGTTTTCTCTCGCACAAACACTCACTCCATTCTTGGAATTTAAGCTTTTCTATCTGATGATATTAGTAGTTTGATGCAAAAAAAGAAACGGTCGAATTGAATATGTAATTGGAGAAAAAAAAAACACAAATCAACCGAAGACTTTTTAGATATATGAACTAGAAGCATAACGATTGGTTGGAATCATAAAACATTTTTTGTCTTGACGAATCCAAAAAAAAAATATATGGTGTAATCAGTGTAGAGGAAAAAAGAAAGAAATGAAAGGCAAAAACATAATGAAAGTTGTAAGAAAATGATAACTTTAATGAAAATATGGTCTTTTGTTTTTGGGCCTACAAATTATATACTAATGGGTTTCATTAGTAGGCTGATTCTCTTCCAAATTTTATAAAAAAAACTTGCAAAAATATATTTTCTTTGCGGGTCAGACGGGTCAAATTTTTGAGTAGAAAAAATAACTCCACTTGTTGCGGGTCGGATGGGACGGGTCGGATTGAGCGATTGAAATTTTTTAACTAAATGAATCACAAAACTAAAAAAAAATGGACCATTTAATTGTTAAATATACAATTTTTCTCAAGTACATCTTTTAGGTACAACCATTGTTAACTTATTTATAAACATAAAAAATTGTTTGAGACATTATAAAACAAAAAATTTTCATACCCGCATAATAATTTGATTTTGATTCTGTGATATTTTATATCATCAAAGCAAAAGACTTATCGATCCATCTATAGATAAAACAACAAAAATAGTATCCACACTTAAAAAGCGCAGCACAAAAATCTAGTGAACCATTATATTAGAAAGAAAACCGCATGCAACACACATGAATCAGGAATTAGTCAATTAGTCTGTTTATATACGGATACTTACTTCTAATTTTCTATAAATTGAGAAATATTTAAATCTTATATTGATGTTCTT